ACAAGCGGATTCCGATCACAAGCACGTAATATTACGGTACGATCTTCCCATATATACATCCTTACACAATAGACTACACATGTCCACTGGTTCAACCACATCGCATCACCAGTCACTGAACCGCGCCGTAGCTGCGGTTTCAGCCTAGTTTATGTAATTTACGACGATATTCTCTACCCCGTACGCAGTGTGCTGGGTAAGACGTCTGTTTACACATTATTCTCGATAGCATGCCTGTAGCGTAGTACGATTCATCATCCCGGCTTTCCCCCCCAGTATTATAATCTTACTTCCCTGTAATCAGTTCCTGCCGACTGCTGCGTTGTGATGCGTTTTTCCCTCGACCGGAACCAACCGTGTCTGAGGAGAATTCTATATTATTCATAGTATATTCACATTATAATTATTGCTTATATTTTTGCACATGCACTTCATACTGCCGACGCAGAGCTGCCCGTTAATTCTAATCAAGAGTTAATAACTCAACAATACATGACCTGTAACCCCTGTATACTATCCTAATTATAAACGCGCGCGCGCGTCGCCTTTACCACGATCGATCGCAGTCTCTGACAATTACCTATATTTCAGATCAATTTTTCTGGCCCTATTAATAAACTAATGAAACTGTTTTATGAAGAGTGACTTTATGAGTCACTTCCTTTTATCTCTTCAGAAGAGAGAATAGTTAGATGCGTGAGATGAGAAGGAGAGTAGAAGAGAGAGAGTTAGAGAATGAGAGAGGTGAGGGAGGAGGGAGGGTAGGGAAGAGATGGAGGAGGGAGAGAGGCCGAGAGAGAGTGAGGGAGGTGAGTGTGAGCGTGGGGGAGATGGGAGGCAGTAGGCAGGAGGGAGGGAGGAGTCCGAGGAGACGAGCAGAGGAAGTGAGCGAGAGACGGATGAGGAGAAGGAGCGTAGCTTCAGATGAAGTAGCCTGAGTAAGAGACGATGAAATTGGATCGGATACAGGCTTATCATTGCTGCTACGTATTTGAATTCATAGTAACTCAGTCCGCATTCTGCGAAAATTACTCAAAATCACAGCACGCTGTGACTATATTCCGCTCCGCACTTGGCCTACAGACAGCTGGTCGACTATTTTGTTGGCTCGACCAGACTAGACCGACTAGAGCGATTGAGATGATAGAGGAGACGGCATGGAGAAGATGCAGAGATCTCGGAGAGATCGAGAGTATGTGGCGAGAGGACCGCAGAGAAGAGAGAGAGTCGAAGAGAGAGCAGGAGAACCACATAGAAGCGAGAGAGAACGAAAGAGAGAGAGAGAGGGTTAGACGAAAGATAGACCTGCTTTTCAAGAAAGACAAGAGAGTAGAGGGGAGAAAGAGAGAGCGCGAGACAAGAGAGAGAAGCTGAGAGAGGAGTACGAGAGAGATCAAACGACAGACAGATGAGAGACGAGAACAGGGAAAACCACTGGTCGCCTCTCTCGTCTTTTTTTTTTTCTCTTCTCTTTTTTTTTTTTTTTTGTTTTTTGTTGTTTCTTTTTTTGTTTTCTTTTTTTTTTTGTGTTTTTTTTCGTTTTTGTCTTTTTTTTTGTTGCGTTTTGTTGTTTTGGTTTTGTTCTTCGTTGTTTTTTTTTTTTGTTTTCTTTGCGCATTTTGTTTTGTAGTTTTGTCATCTTTGTTCCTGTTTTTTTGTCTGTATGTTTTTCTTTTGATTTTGTTGTTTTCTGTTAACTTTATATAACTTTTGTATTTTTTGTTGTTTTTTTTTTTTTTTTTTTGTTGGTTTCTTTTCTTGTTGTTTTGTTTTTTTTGTTGTTTTTTTTTTTTTTTAGTTGTTTGTTTTGTTTTTTGTTGTTTTTTCACGCGTTTTTTTATTGATATGCTAATATGCTTCAGTTTTTGGTTGTTTTTTGCAACTTAGAGCTATTTTGTTTCTACTGTCATATTATTGTTGATATTGTGTTTTTTGTTTTTCTTTGTTTTGTTTGTTTGTGGTTTTTTTTTTGGTCCGTTGCTGGATTTTGTTTTCGTAGTTGGTTGCGTGGTTTTTGTTTTTATACTTATTCGCTTGCTCTCGTGGGGTGTTTTTGTTTTGTGTTTGTTGTTTTGTTTTCTTTTTGGGGATTCTTTCCTTGTCGTTTCTTGTCTTTTCGCTTTTTTTTTCGTTGTTTTTCGTTTCATTTTCTTTCTTTCTTCGCCGTTCTGCCCTTTTGGTTTTCACGCTGCAGTCATAAAGTTACGATCCGCACTAGCTGCCGACTGACCAAGTGGCGTGTCTACATCATCGGAAGGACCTCCTTGCTACGGGCGATAAGAACAAAATTTCCAGGACGTCCCCGCCCCGCGCCCCTTCGTCTCCACCTTTCAGAAATTGGCGTCGTATCGCTGCAAGTACGTGTTCAATCGTTCGTTTACATCAATTCTTCTATCTACTTATTCTTATTAATCAAACATTTATACTATATCCCTGATAATCCAATAAGCTCATAGAGTATGGGGTTAGGCGTAAAATTTAAAGATGGTGTGTGCAGATAAGTGATGCCTCTCTTGTCTTCGTCTGCACCCTCTTTTCCCGTCGGAAAGAGCATCTGGAATGAGATGAGATGAAGCACGTGATAGTACAGGTAAAATTAAGATAATAATATAATAATTTATACTAATAAGTCTAAGATAGATAAATACTACTAGTGGGCCTAGATAAAATTCAGAGAGGGTTGTGAGCAGAGGGGAAGCAACGTATTATGAATCTCTCTACCCTTGTGCCATGCGAAACATGACGCAGTGCGTTAGATATAAGTAATGGTTAGGTAAATAGAAGGGTGATAACGATGACATGATGAGATGATGAATCGACGACTCTGACGTATGACATGACGATACCCATTCGCGGGTTCCCTTTGTGTTGCCGGTATCTGTGGTCCTTGTGCCTGGGTTACTTTCCGCCCTTCTTTTTGGGTTCTCCTCTCGTCCCCCTTTTCCCGGCGCGTTCCTCCTCCCGCCTCCCGGTGTCTTGGTTTGCCCGGGTTTAAAATGTATCTTTATTAAAAAGTATATATCCAAACGCACGTGCATAATTAAGACATGGTTCTCCACGTGTGAGAGAGAAACACGTCATTCGTCATGGGTATCGTCAATGTCATCGTCCCATCGTCGTCGCTTCCGATCATCACTCCCCAATGCCCATTCCACGTGACCGCAGTTCGTGTCCATCGTTTATCACCCTCTCTCATTTTACCTAACCATGTCCTATTTATCACTACCAACTGTCGTCCCGTGTTTTATAGCAGCTGTGATGTGCAAAGAGATTCACTACATACCTTGCTCCCGTCGCTCGTTCCATACACACCCCTCCTTTTCCTGATTAACTACTACGCGCAGCATACTATTAGCATATTATCATCACCCCAGTATGTGAATTAAGTTATCAGAATCATTAATTACATTATCCAAGATACACTTCTTACGCCTATCTATACTGTCCCATGCTCTTCTATCTTAGGAGTTAAAACTATATCGACATGATCTATTCGTCTCCGGCAGCTGGTACAACTATTCAGCAATATGACGTTATCTCTATGGCACATGATCCATGATTAAACATATCTATTCTACACACCTCTGACCCTCAATCTATTAATCTAATGGATTATTAATTTATTAGTATAGAAATTATTAATAATCATATTAGATAGAAATTATTTATGTCGCGAAGCGATTTACATGTTTTTTGCTGAAAATAACCCATTGCAATTCATATTTGGCGGACAGTGTCATATTTGACCCATTGGTTTCAGGGTTAGTCTTGTACCGAAAATGAGATAAACGAATATTTTTTATGCCAAAACGTATGCTAAATTTAATAGGAATTGTAATACTTTTCTTTCTACTTTTTCGTTCTGTTCCCGCTTTACTTTCTACTTTCTTCTTTCGCACCCGTGTTCTAAAGTATTTATGCGTTTCGCTCAGGCCACAATAAAAAATATTTGTTTTGCCCTCACCCGACCTCAGGCTGAAAGGTTTAGGTAGGTAGGTAGGTAGATTTTCTTTGAGGAGGCTCTTTTTTACAAATGTCGCGTGGTGTCTACAATACTCCGGGTGGCTTGTGTGGAATACCTTTTAATGTTGAATGTTTGTTTGCTTGCACATATAATGTATTCGCCTTACGAATTCATATAATGTACAGTATACAATTTGTTAAAAAAACCATTTTGAGTCGGCCCATTTTGGCGGTCGGTCGGTGGAGGCAAACAAACCAATATTTTTTATTATGGCGCCCCCAATAAAAAAGCTATAAGCCACTGTTCTACTATATCGTATATGCGTGGCAGGCATAAACAGGATGACTGGTACGTGAAGAAGAGGTGTACGCAGAAACTTTTCATGACACGAAACTGCATTTGCACATTGTCATTCGTCAATCCTAATTTTCTGAGCAATTAAACTTTTCGCGTATTGATATTCGTCCTGTTTTAATGCAGTAAAATCGCGCAACTGTTATTATTTCGTCGGCAGTTTGCGAAGCGGTGGCAAACGCCCAGCGGTAGCCCTCCATAGTCGATTAGAATTTTAAAGCGTGATTAAATTATTTTTCGCTCACGCGCTGCGGCAGGCTGGCTAAACGCCACAGCCTGCAGTCGGTGGAAGAAGATCAACTCAGGGTAACTCTCGCGTTCGTTCATTCACTGGGGAACATCGAGGGATTCCTCAATACGTCAAGAAGGATGGGAGTGCCTGACCAGGGAGACGTTCACAACACGACGAACTCTAGAGGGAACAATACCTGTACGCTGTACAGTGCGCCTATATCGTTAGGAAGGGAGAAGGTAATAAAGGGAGAGTTGGAGGGAGAGGGAGGGAAGAGAGATGAGAGAAGAGAAAGGAGGTGGGAGAGAGAGGAGAAGAGAGAGAGGAGCGAGAGAAGAGAAGAGAGAGAAGAGAGAGCAGAGAGGAAGAGTAGCGAGAGAGAGAGAGATAGAGAGAGAGAACTGGCAACTGCCATATCATATCACTAATTTACATTATTTACTCGTGCAGTGGCACAAGATAAGGCATTCCCGGGATTCCGTCCACAGCGAGGCGAAGGCGAAAACAAGCGGAGGTTCTTCCGGCTAGAACACGATGAAGGACTGGACAGTATGGCTTCACATGTGTGTGTGTTGTGTGTGTGTGTGTGTGTGCTGTGTGTGTGTGATGTGCATGTTGTGTGTGTGGGTGTGTGTGTGTGTGTGTGGTGTGTGTGTGTCTGTGTTGCTGTGTGGTGTGGTGTTGTGTGGTGTGTGTGTGTGTGTGTCCGTGCTCGGTGGTGGTGTGTGTGTGTAGTTGGTGTGTGTGTGTGGATGTTGGTCTGTGTGTGTGTGTGTGCTGTTGTGCTGTGTGTGTGTGTGTGTGTGTCGTTTGTGTTCGGATGTTGTGGTTGCGTGTGTGTGTAGTGCTGGTGTGTTGTGTTGTTGTGCGCTGCCGCGGCACTCGCGTGTGCGTGGGTGTGTGTGTGTGTGTTGTCATGTGTGTGTGTGTGTGTGTGTTGTGTGTGCGCGCGCGCGCGCGCGCGCGCGTGGTGTTGTGTGTGTGTGTGTGTGTTGTGTGTGTGTGTGTGTGTGTGTGTGTGTGTGTGTGCATGTCCGTGTGTGTGCGGCTGTGTTATATCTATATATATATATATATATATAACCTATGATGATAATAAAATCTATTGTTAGTGCTAATCACGATTACATAAGATATTATAATGCAAACTATGTATTAACACCATCAGTGTGACAATCATACATCTGCGTGCAGCAGCACCTAGACGTACGTGTGCATAGTGTAACGCTAAATCTAAATCTAGTAGTGTAATTCTAAAGCAGGTTATTGACACTGTGTACTACTAACGCATAACTGCTCGTGGTTCTTCAGATGTGATCGGACTCCAGATGGGAAGCAACAAGGGGGCGACCCAGTCTGGACAGAGCTTCGGCAACACGCGCCACATGTAAGACTGCAACCACCAGGGGGCGCTGCGGACGGTAGAGGGCGCTGCATGCGCAGACGGAGAAACAGTCTCAACGTAGTAAAACGTGTTATGGTCTATTGTTTCACGCAGATGAGTAGTCATTTGATGTAACGGAGCAAGCACTGCGTAGAAGGAGAGTCAAGAACTTAAAGCAGAAATCCCAGGAAACGGTCGAATAGAGAGAAAAGCTTTCCTGTTCAAATGTTAAATTTTTCGTGATATCGAGATCGAATGAAATTCAAGCATTGTCATCAGAAAAATATTTGCTACACTCCTTTACTGATACATTCCTCTACCGATACATTCCTCTATCGATACATTCCTCTACCGATACATTCCTCTACCGATACATTCCTCTACCGATACATTGCCCTACCCTACATAGCTCCATCAATATACTCCTCCCCCAAATACATTCCTCTGTATGAAGTACTGATACATTCCTCTACCGATACATTCCTCTGTGTGAATTACAGTCCTCTATCGATACATTCCACTATCAGTAGATTCCTGTATTGATATATTATGCCACTATCGACATATTCATTTATCACTATTCGGTGCCTTATTTTAGGTTTGTACACACCTTTGTTTTATACGTAGCATTTTGTGCTAATCTCATATCTACGGAATTACCCACTAATTTAGATCGGAGAGGCTGTGAGATTTTCAATCTGTATTAATTCGCGTCCTGGAAAATTACAAAATAAAAGCTATATGTGAGAATCCTGTTTAATTTTATGTATTTGAGACAATGTAATTTTCACATTAAACTGCGCATGAGTTAGTATAATAGAGATCAGTGGTATGATGTCACACACTCACGCGCGACACTAGCGCCGACCAACGGCAAAAGAAGTTAATAATCACTTCGACTTTTCGTGGAATTAATGTGTCATGGTTCTAGGGCCTCCTTAGCATTGATGAGGAAAGGCAATGGAGTCAACCAATTTCAAAATGAACTAGTACAAAGTCCCCACTCCATATTGAAACGTATAATTACCAGAACATTTTATTGCAATTTTATTTAAATTTCATCTTTCATATTATACTACAGGTGACTCTGGTGAGATATTGCGCATGCGCTAAAACAATAACGTAGCCAGATTGTGTACTGACTGGTTTATGCAGCAAAGACCTTACATGCAAGGGCTGCTTCCAATTTCATAAGTGAGGTATACTGATGGAATATTATCATAGAAATCTATGCTTGGATAACCCCTCTTCATTTTAAATTAATAATTTTGGCAAAATATCGTGTGAAACTAACGTGATCAGCTTCACGTAGGCGGGCTTGCCACGGCGAACTGAGCATTCACCTATTACAGAGACCTGTCCCTTCCATCTACCGGAACAAGAGCGCCTTCCCTGCTTACGAAATACTACCTTTACTAGAGCACGCTCCCATTGTCACATCCCTGGACAAAAACTAATTGAGGGCTACCAGCACTTATCTATGTCAAAGCCGATTATACCACCCTCACTTCAAATCAACACGCCTAACCTACCTAAACTACTGAGACATCTCCTAAAACAACAAACCCTCCCATCATTATATCTTACACCCTAACAAACAGCACCCCGACCTAACCCTGAGACAACACGCCCACTCCATCACCATGGAAACACCTATTACTAGAAACTCCTCCCATCACCTGGCAACTAATCAAAGTTTAGTACATCAAATGCCCATCTGAAAAACACTCCCTCTACCTAGTCAATCAGAACCCCTACTGCTAAACAATTACATATCCCTACTCACACCACACCTTACTAGAACGTCCCTCGCACATCACCCGAACCACCTTACTAAAACCTCCCTCCATCACCCAACACCATTACGTAGAACCCTCCACTCATCACACAACACGCGTGTACAAACTCCCTCCATTCACCGAAACTCCTTACAAGAACCATCGCTCCATCCACCAACACCATTATAGCACACACAAGCAACACTGCCACACCCTACAACCAGTCACAAACACCGTACTAGAACTCCCACCCATTCACCCCAGCACACACCACACAGCCACACACACGACACACACCCACACACATATACTAAATACCTCTACTAAGACCTCCCTCCATCCACCAACACTTACTAAGAACCACCCTCCATCAACCGAACACCTTACAGAACCCCCCCCATAACCAAACGCACTACCTTAAATTCGCCCTTCAGATACTCAACCATTCCCATGCCAATCAGCCTAAACTAACCTTACCAGAAACTCTGCCGCCCCACCTCTATCACAAAAAACCCCTACCCCCTTATTGCGAACTAGAACCGCCGTCCTCCGCAATGACCAACCGACCTACCCACACCCCCCTCCCATGCACAAACACCTTACTAGCAAGGCCTCCCTCCATCCACGCAACGTACCGATTATCTAGAACTCCCTCCATCACCGAACACCCTTACGAGAACCCCTCCATCACCAGCCGATCTACCCCGAAAATCAACGACGCTTACTAGAACCTCCCTTACTCCATCACTCAAACCTTACTAATACACTCAACTCCATCACTAACAACAAACACATACTCACCCAACTCGTCCCGCCCATGCCCCCAACACCTTCTATCCTAATAACAGCCCCGCTCTCCGCTCACGCATCCTCCCTTTCATCCAAACACCTTACAAGACCTCCCTCCAGAGCCATAGCACCAGTACTAGAACCTTCCCTCACACTCAACCAACTACCTTACTAGAAGCCTGCCACTCCACCCCTCCATCACCATACACGCTTACAAATACCCCCTCCAATCACCAACCACCTTACTAGAACCAATACCTACTCCATCACCAACACCCATTACATAGAACCGACCCTCTCCATCACTCAAGTGTCGCTATTATATCAAAATATCCGTCACATCCTTCCCACTGCACTCCCTCTTAGTCAGCCCACCTCCAATGCCCAGCACCTTTAAATACTAGAGACCATCCTCCAGTCAACCCGAACACGCTACCAGAACTCATCCATAAAAACACTCAACACCTTAACTAGACGAACGCCGCTGCCCCCCCAAGCCAACCACCTCCTGAGTCGTGTCGCGCATCTGAGTCACCTTCGATTAACACCCTGAGCCGTGTCGCGCTCGGTTGTCACCAGAACACCTGAGAGCTGTCTGCCGCTCCATCAACGAACACCCACGATGTCCGTTGTCCTCCTCCATCAACACCGAATGACTGTGTCACGTTGACCCTGGCAGAGCAACCACGCCCAAAATATTTTTACGACATTAACAACCCATTTCCCCCTCTGACACATTCTGGTAAGAGGGAGGAGGTCTGTAGCCAGCCAGATTAGGCTGGACCCAGCCAATGACAAGCACGTGTGATTCAACACTTAACCACGTAGTCGCGGGACACTAGGCGATCAACTTGTCGAACAACGTGCGCTGGGGCAGGCACCCCACAATTCGCTGAGACACGGTCCGGGTGGCCCATGCGTGTCGCGCTGCGACAGAAAGCGCGTCGAGTACCTTTTTCCTCGCCGAGCAGAGCACCGTAAACGGAGATCGATCCCCAATCGGCAAGAAAACCGAGCATAGCGCGGTGGGGGTTGGAACGCTAGGTGCGGGGTACTGAGGGGGATGGGGCTGGTGGGGCGGGGGGGGGGCGGGGGGGGGGAGGTAAGGATGTGGGCAGGGTGGGGGGTCTCAGGGAGGGGGGTGCAGCTGGGCGTGCAGGGGGACGCCCCACGGCACTACGCAAGCCTGAGGTGATAGAAGCGCAAGAGATCAAACAGGCCGCGAGGAACCCTCATGAAAGTAAACCAATCGCGAAGTGGGAGGGAGGGAGAGTGAGGGAGATAGTAGCTGCTGCAGTTAGCAGGCGGACGGTTAAAGTGTGGGCGGAAAGTGATTCACCTGGTTTGACGTGACTCACAGCACCCAACTGTGTGTGTGGAGCTACTCAGGAGTAGACTGCGCACCCTGTGTGTTGGGCTATCACGGTGAACCACACGCACGGGCCGACCTGACTCGTGCGTCTTAGCGTACAAATCGCAGCGACTCTAACCCCGATGCGTCCTCTTCTCCCCTCAGGTGCGTGGGCGGCGCGTTCCGGACAGCAGCTGGACCAGTGCTCGAGACCTGCCAGGGTCTGTTCTAAGAAAAGGCCCAAGGGGGACTAATTACAAGGCGCTAAGCGAACAGCCCCAAACGTGATGGCTTTCGCGCGAGGCTCGCATCACTGAAGAGCCGACGAGCATCGGCAGGTCGGCGCAAGCCTCGGCCGACAGCGTCGAGGGGGCCCTCAATCAGAAGCACGAAGGCACTTTGACACAAGGCGAATCACGCAGAGAAGAAAATCGCGCGCTGAAACACTTTGCCAAAGAGCAGATAATAGCATCGACGCCTCGAGCACAGTCGACGCCCCAGGCGATCGACGAACAAGCGCAGAACGCAGGTCTCGAGAGATGAGTAAAACGAGCGCTGAGAGGGACAGAGGGTCTGTGTGCGTGCGGCGTTGCGTGGTTGGTGGGGCGTGCGTAGTGCGGTGTATGTGTTGGGCTCACCAACGTGATGCCATGTACCAAATATAGTGTGGTCAAATACCCAGCCGCTCTCATCGCTCGTCGATCTCTCTCTAATATCATAATAGGAATAATACTATATAATATGCAAATATATAAATATTATCCAGTCGCTTCCTCCCGCTAGCATACAAAATCTATCTCACTAATCCAAAAATCCCTGCTATGTTATCTGTTTTAGCGCATGCGGAATATCTTACGAGAACAGAGTATTATTTGGCCTGAAATGCATCTTAACTATGTCAAGGGCATCTGCAGATATTTCCTGTAACACTCAAATCTCCTCTCATCTCAGTTATCATCTCGACTCTGTGTTATTATCATAGATTAAGAGACGCGCTATCGTCCACAATCCCAATCTGCACAAAACACCCAGTCTCACTTCATCCCCCTCCTCCCCTCGCGCTCTTCCTCCTTGTCTCCTCGTCTGCACGCATCATCTTCTCCTTTCTTTGAGCCCACCCCTGTCTCCGTCTCCGGTCCTGCTCACCTGTCCCACTGTCCTCCATCCTCCTCTCATTCTCCACGTCATCTCCCTCTCTCTCCCAGCAACTATATTACGCCCTTTATAAGCTCGTCTCTCGCCTGCACTGCACGTATGGAAACTGGCTCCGCCAATGCCAAAGTTCTCCCAAGAAGAATAATATTTTCCAAAATAATGTATTTAACATAAAGGGGGGCTTATCCCAGCATAAGATTCTACCCGTCAACTATCATATACTTCCATCAGTAACCTTCCAACCATGAAATAGGAAAGCAGAACTTGCAGGTAACGCTCCGCGCATAAACCAGTCCAGTACATCTCGCATCTCTACCACACCTGCTACGTACTTCGTTTTAGCGCACCATGCGGAATTCTGCACGAGAGAGTTATATTCATTGTGCTGAAAAATCCATTATATGGTCAGGGGTCTCTCAGCATAGGCTTTCTGTAATAAATTCTTATTAGTAGACCTGTGTTTATAATTAGAGAGGCGCCCAGAAAGGGGTGCAAAACCACTACTCCTCTCATCCCAGCCGAGGCCATTCCCCTTGTCCTTCCCTTGTCTGCATGCTCCAGCCTCCTTCTCTTCCACCGGCCCCTCGGTCTTTGTTTGTTGCTGTCTTTCGCCCTCACTTTCTCAGTCCTCGACCAGCTCCTCCCCGGAGGAGCAGCCCAATCTATATTACGTACTTTTATTAGGGCCGTACCTGCCTGTCTGAACGTTGCTGCTGCGCATGGCGCAATATCTCCGCAAGAAGAAAAG